CGCGCTCGCCGCGCAGGCTGGGGCCGGGTGGGGGGGCGGTCTGTCGGGCGAAGGAGGAGGCAGTCGTCGGGGAAGAAGCGAGGCGTGTATACGGGCCTCTGAAGGAGGGACACGGGCAGGAGGTGAGCGAGCCGACGCGGTGAATGAAGGGTGAGATCGCAGTGAAAGCATGCGAGCAAGCCGGGGGGGGCGGCGGGGGTGTCCCTCGAGCCCTTGGAAAGGCAGGCGGTGGACGCACGGATTGATCTCCGCGCGTTGTTTTCTAGTGTCTAGGGATAATGGGATCTTCTGTTTTAGAAAGCGGCGTCGGTTGCGCCTCTTGCCCTGAAGCGAACTTTTCTTTGAAGCCCGGATGGCCGACTGCTGCTCCATCTCTCCAGTTGTCCTTTGTATTCCCTGCCGCCGCCGCCGCCTTTCGCTGGTCCACGCTAAGGGACTGGTCTTAGTTTACTTTGTGAGACTCGCTCTCTGCCTTTCAGTCCGCCCCCCCCCCCCCCGGTAAAATTTCTCACCCCCCCCCAGCCACTAGACCCGATTTAGCGAGGCGAAGCAGACGGGCGGTGGGGGGGAGCTGTTTTTTTGGCTCGGGGTTGTATCTTGGCCGATGCTTGGGAGGTTTGGTTGAAAGTCCTTTTAAAAAAGTGTGTGCGAGGGTTGGGGGCTTAAGCATTCGAGAAAATTTGCTTTTGTCAACCACAGGGTCTTGATTAAAGATTTACTGAGTAAGGCAAAAGGATTTAACCTGGAATTTATAACATAAATTTAAGATCCCTTAATACATTTTGTTTGATTATGAGCTGGTAATCTTCAAGTAGAAAAAAGAATAATGTGGCATGGATGAACAGGTGTGAATAACTTCAAAATAACTTTGTTTCCTTTAAAAATCTGTGTGTCTGTGTGTGTGTGTTTTTTTATTATCTGGCATAACAACTTCGAAATGTAGAATCAAATAAATTTTCAGTTGTCCTTTTTGGTAATAACACATGTTGAATCTTGAAAGATCTCAGACTTTTCAAGTGATAGACCAGTTTATTTGTAGGGAAGTCATAAGTGAAGGACTGACGTAATGAAATTGTAAAAACTGGATTCAATCTGACAGGTGTCTGTTGGCCAAAATTTTCAAAAGATTAACATATGTTTTCAGATTATTTCTCTAAAGTAATTTTCCTGCAGAGTCTAAAATTACTGTTCAGGTCATTATCCCTTAATTCATAACTTTTAAGATCATGTTGAGTTTATAAACAAGAAAATAATGCAAAAAAGAATAATTAGAGGTGTTTGTCATTTCAGGTTTTTTCAACTTGCTCTGCTAAAATTCAGGCTTATCTAGTGAAGAGATGGTAGAATTTGTTCAACCAGAAGAAGCCCCCTCCCCATCTTGTGCTTGCTTCTTTATGTTTTGGTGTTTCTCAGCTGCATTGGTAGAGAGTGTAATAGGGAGACAGTAAGTAGAAAGATGTGACTTGAGTATGTAATATAACTGAATTAAGAGGCAGAGATGCAGAATGCAGAGATTGTTAAGTCACCCAGTTCACAAATGTATCTACTTTGTCAGTACAGTATTCTGTTCATGAATATGTGGTATCCATCCAATTCCTTCTTCAGAAGCTTTATTTGTAAAGTTACATATCTATATAGTTGGCACTGAAATGGGGTGATGTTAAAACATGTTCTCATTTATTTATCTCTCAGAAAGAACTCTTCTACATTAGTTCTCCTAGTAGGCCTCCTTCTTCTGTTCCTTCTGTTACCCCATGAAATAAATATGTTGCAAATAAATGCTTCACCGCGATGCGGTTGTAACTAAAATAATTATATTTATTAGCATTCAAAGTATTATGCTTTACATAACTTTGAAGTCAGTGGAAAAATAGTTGACTTGACCTATAATTACATGAGAATTCTTTTACCAAATATGCTGCTGATTTGAGAACAGAAAACCCATGGGGAAAACAAAACAAAACAAACTGCCTTTGAGAATGATGGGGTAAAGATGAAAGAAGCTTAGTATTTTACTCAGAAAATATGGGCTTTTCATACTGCTTTTTATTTCAGTACAGTCTGAACGTTCCAGAAATCTCCCCCCTGAAAGAAAGATGAAGTTGTGGTACTTCCCAGGGCTCATAATCATTAGTCTGCTATACTTCTGGATCCCATCATCAATGTGCTGTAATAAAGCTCTCTGTGCTAGTGATGTCAGCAAATGCCTAATACAGGTATGAGATAATTTACACTTATGTTTGATAAGAAGATATATCCAGGAATTTGTCTATAACAATAATTCTGAAAGGAGAAATGAAATAAAAATTATTTTGAATAGATACTTATTGAAGAATGTGGGAATGTTTATTTTGTATTTTCATTCCTTTAAAGCAGAAGGAAACATGTAAATGTTTATTAGAATCATTTTATGAAAAATAGCATTAGAATTTTATGTTGTTGAGTCAAACTGATTAATGAGGTGATCTGTTTATGTAATAACGTTCTAATCTACTGAGTGACTTAAGTTCTTGGACATATCGCAAAGTTAAATCATTGAATCATTAAGTTATATGTAATAAGTAAAACTATACATTGCTTTACTTTTACAGTGAAGCAATAAAATGCAAACAATAAATACTATAAGAAAAGCATAGAACATATAAAATCAATTATTCCAAAGCAGACCAGACACTTAAAATAATAGAAATGCCTGGGAGAAGAGGGAAGTTTATCTTGTGCTGAAGAGATATTTATGTGGGTATCAGGCATGCTTCCCTTGGACATAAATAGGACATTACAAGTGAAACATTTCACTTGGGGGGAACACCTGGAAGAAGGCTGTTGAAGATGTCTGAAGACCCTACCCAGCTACATAATGGAGGAGGCATTCCTTAAGATACTGAATTAGAAGCTAATTCTAATCCCTCTCTTTTTCATGCTGCATGAGTTTGTCCATGGATTGAATGATAAACTGCCTATCTTCTTCTCATTTAAACACATCATAAAACTAAATCTCTGGAATAAAACTTAAAATTGTCTGTAGAAAACTGCATGTGACAGAGAAGATACAGGAAAAATACTTTCAAACAAACATAAAAACATGACTTTTGATTATTTTCCTTAATATCGGGCTATAAGAGTTTAATATTCTATCAAAATTACAATGTCCTGGTTGAATATAATTAAAATTATAGGATGAGGGTTCTTATTACTCTAACTGTTGTGCTGTTCTTGGAATTTGGCATACCTCCTCATAATTGTTCATAGTATTGGTGCAGATCAGACTTATTTATATATACTCTATGCCAAAAAAAAAAAAACTTAAAAAACTGTCCCAAGGAATCATTATACTGTGACCAGAAATGAATATGTTTTATTTATGTAAAGTAGGCAAACAATACATACTTTTGTTTGGTTTTTATTTTTTTGAAGTGGACCTGTATGGGTCGGTATATGTGGAGGAAGCTCCTTTCTGTATATGCAGAATTGTGAAAGCTGATTTGACTTTAGAACCATGGTTATTAAAATAATTGAACTAGACAGATATGGAATAGTGTTCTGCTACTCTATTTTACAGGGGCTGCCTACAGAACACTATTGGATATATATGTGGGTAGAGTGAACCTAGTACCATTTTCTTCCTTCACCAGAAAATCAGGACCCAGAACACCAGTCACTTGTTAACATGGTGAAATATCCATATATACTGGGTTTTGTTTGTCTTATGTAAAGACAGACGTTATTTTTAATAAATCATGTTAAGCAAACCATGGTGGTTGAATCCAGTCTGTGGATTTATATGCAGAAATGTAAACAGCTAAAAACACAAAAAATGCCTAAGTTAGAGCAGCCAGGAATTATCTAGTAGATTCACTTAAATGAATTTTATTTTACTGTAATTATTTCTTAAATCTAATGTTTGTAGGTAGCCCTGTCCTCTGAGCCATTTATGTGAGTGCCCTACTCTACAAAGCCAGCATGATGATAGCAGAGGAGCATCTTGCCATGTATATTAGCTTAAGTTGTTGTACACTACTATAGACACAGGTTGTTGCGAGTAAAGAACAGGGAATCCCTGTTAGCTTTTGTCTTGCTTACAACAGTTTCCTTCCTCCAACTGGTATTACTCTTTTGTTGCTTCTGCTTCTGCAACAAGCTCGCTCTCATTATTTTCAACAGCTGTATTAATTAGGGTAGACTTTCTTAAAAGACCCCAGAAACTTAAGAACCTAAAATTGTTCTCAGAGGCACTAAGGACATGGGCTGGCAACTTAGTCTGGCCGTTGGTTCATGCTGTTCTAGCACTCTGGTTAGGCCAGTTTTCCCAGCCTGCTGTTCATGAAATCAATGAAACAAGCACCACACTTTGGTGTTATTTGTTCACTTCAAAGTCTCTCTCTCTATATATCAGTAGGACCCGCATGGAAGCTGTGGTAACATTTATTGGCAAAGATATGCAAAAATGTATAAATCAAAAGGAGCGAATACTTTTTTACAGAACCGTGTGACACATTTGTTTTTCTTTGTATTATGTTTGGGAAGTGATTCTAAAGAGAGTATCAGGTATTTCGTGTTCACTAATGCATGCACCCAACACTTGCTAGGTTTAATTCTGCCAAATTTACAGACTTTTCCTAGAATTGGAGCGCAGCATTTATGTGTACATGCTTTAATATTGAAACATTGTCCCTGGTTATAGAATTCCTTTACAGATAATCCCTGGGTTAAGAATGCCCGGTTTACAGACAAACCATAGTTAAGGACAGAGCCTATTGTAGCAAAATATGAGTTAAATATACAATGATGCGAGTTAAATACAAAATGGTTTGAGTTCATTACACAATACGACTTATACAGTAATACACAATAATACTGTTCTGGTTTACATACCACTTCAGCTTAAGGACAGGCCTTGGGACGAAACCCATTTTTAAACTGGGGACTACCAGTATCTGGAACATATTTATCATTTCTGTAGCTAGATCATCACTGAGAGAAAGAAGAAAACAAAGCAAAAATATCTCTGTAGGAAGCACTTTGCATGTGATAAATGACAGGTAGCTTTGGAGTGTGCAGTAATAAAGTGGCAAGTTTTTCCAGTAACACATCACCAGAGTTGTAAAACCAAAAATGAACTGCAAAGAGGTCTAAAAATATTTTTTCAAATGAGGTGAATGGTAATAAAATGGCAAACATGAGTCAGTATAGGCAAACGTTCCAGAATGTGGCGAAAATCATCGACCAAAGGCAGGAGGTAAACATTATAATTTATCATGATAGTTGCATGTTACCATCCCAATTTACTTTTGTTTTTGTTACTTTCCTGGGAACATGGATACTTCTGAATGAAGCACTGTGCTGGAACACATCTTTATTTTTTTTTTATAAAAATGCTTAGAGCTACCTCTTCTAAATAAAAATGAAGATGGTAGGGGGCAGTTTGATTTCCAGGAGCCAGCCAGCCTTTAATCTAAATAAAGATTAGTCAGGATGGGTATTGATACCAAGGGAAGTGTCTGCAGGCGTTCCGGCACTCAGGGTCATCTCATTGCCTACCTTTGAATTATGCAATAATTGTCCTGGAATAATAACTCTAATTCATCCATATACCTACTCCAATTCTAACACATATTTGAGGCTTATTTCTTTGCTTTTTTGCATACAGGTAGTCCCCAGTTTAAGAACAAGTTCGTTCCCAAGGTCTGTCCTTAAGTTGAATTTGTGTGTAAACCGGAACAGTATTATTGTATAATAGTGTATAAGTGGTATTGTGTAATTAACTCGAGCCATTGTGTATTTAACTCAAATCATTGTGTATTTAACTTGGATTTTGCTACAATAGACTCTGTTCTAACTATGGATTGTCTGTAAACTGGGCATTCTTAACCTGGGGACTATCTGTACTGGTTTTAAGTGAACATTAAACAACAGAGTTTTTGTTACTAAGCTCAAAAATTCATATTTCTTTTTTCCTTTTTTTTTCATAATATTAAAAAGGAAAAAAGAAATTGAATTTTTGAGTTTAATAACAAAATTTCTGTTAATATTATGAAAACAATTCAATGTACTTTGCTTGGTATCTTTTATTAATGTTCAGCATTAGTTGTACGATCGTAGTAGCTATCTGTCCATCTATAGACATTACCTTTTTTGAAAATATATCTATTTTAAATTAAAAAGAAAGAAAACAAAAGGGGAAAAAACAACTTCAACAATGTGAGACTTTACTGAAACTGTAGTATTTAATACCTATAAGGCCATATCTGTTAAATATCTTCAGGATTTTTAGAGTGAGAAGTGGTATATAAATTTTCAATCTATGCATACTTACATGATCAAATGTGCCTATTCTTTTCCCCCATATGTTGAAGAAGTTATGGAGTTACAAATGCATATACTTCGTGTGTGATTAAGGATATTTATTAACAGTGCTATGAGGAAATTCTTCACTCTTATCATCAAGATTACAAACTGAATAATTTGTTCTTAGATACCTTTCATCCTTTTTTTAGTAATGAGCATTTTTGTAATTTTCATAATTAAATTTAATAATCAGCATTTGCTCAAAAAACCCCTAAACAACAGAAAAAGTAAGTTCCTGGTGCACTTCATGGATAATGCTAGAAATCATTGACAACTCAAAAGGATAAATAGTAGTGTATGATAAAACCTCTTAATTTAATTTATGAATATATTATAAAGGGTCATCCCTAAATTAACCTTCTGCATCTGAAAAAAACCACAATTGTATATGAAAGCAAGCCCTGCTTAAATATTTAAGTTTCATTGGATACTATGTAAGTGAAATTACCATCACAGATTGATGTAACTAATTTTTAGTAGACAGTATTTTTTTTTCAGGTAATAAGGGCTTGTACTGCAGAGGGAGAGGAAGAACTGGGGGAGATTAATCTAGTTGTGTTAATCAAGTTCTTTCCTTCGTGTAGATAGAAGAGATTGCATGAACTGTACTCCATTTTATAGAATGCAGAGGGTGGTCCACATAAATATTTATTTTATCAGCTGTGTAACAGATGTGAATGAGATCAACAATCTCGGATTGAAGCATGCTTGATTTGTTTTGTCTTGCTGGATAATTCACTTTAAATCCTGTTAGGATCACATTTCAAAAAAATCTCATAAACTTTTCAGCAATCTGTATAACCCATTTAACCCATGAAAGTTTGAGTTTTAAGTAAAATATTAAATCTCTAAAATGTAACAACTTAAATAA